AACAAGAAGACCAGTCACTGTTGTCATAGCACTACCCACTCAGTGAGATTAGATAACACTGGGAAAACGTACCCGTTCCACTTGGACCAGGAACGTTGCGGAAGCCCCATCCTTCCCGAAGGAGGTTTCGGAAGCACTTACACACATGACATCCGTTTAGGTGCATACGGAAGATTAGAGGTGATTGTAACCCTCATGAAAATGGCAGAAGTCTGCCGGGGAAACACGGGCTATACCGTGGACTTGACACATATGGGAACCACTTAGGCCTCTACATATGGAACCCAGCCCTCTACCGGTTCTCACGGATTCAGCGAGTGAGGGTCTGGCGCCGGACGTTCCATCATGTATGACTGCCGAGGGATGGAGGAGCTCGACAGGGCCTACAGTACGGACACTCTGGAGCAGTTTTAGCAAGCCGACACTAATCCGGGGCTTCTCCGTGCCTCTACCCATTTGAGGTGAGAACACAGGAGGATACCGGCTCCTCGGACGGGACAGAGCAAAGCTAGGGCTGGGTCTGCCTCCTCCGGGGGCAGCGCTTGCAGGCTCACCATCTAATCCTTGAAGGGAGTAGTGGGAACCTTGGGCACATAGCTGGGCAGGGGCCTAAGGATTACCTGGGAGTCAGCCGGCCCAAACTCTAGGCACGAATCGTTGACCAAAAATTCGTGCAGGTCCCCTACCCTCTTGATGGAGGCCAGTGCATGCAGGAGCAGAGTTTTCATTGAAAGAAACTTTAGCTCGACTGGCTGCAAAGGCTCAAATGGGCCCTGCTGTAGTGCTTTGAGCACTAGAGACAGGTCCCAAGAGGGTATAGAGGAGGGCCGGGGAGGATTTAACCTTCTCGCCCCCCTAAGGAACCTAATGACCAGATCATGCTTCCCTACCGACTTCCCTTCCACGGGGTCATGGTTAGCAGCAATCGCAGCGACATAGACTTTAAGGGTGGAGGGAGACATCAAGGCGTTCCACTTCAAGGCGTAAGCGTGTCTCGTAGACGGTGCTCTCGCTGAAGTGATGGTGTCAACTACCTCTTGGGGTAGGTCACACAGAACCTCGGCTCACTGGGGGAAACGCGTACTTGCGCAGGCCCCGCGGCCAGCTGTGTGCCAGTGCGTCCGTGCCGAGTGTTCCTTCGGTCAGGGAGTAGAACAACTGGCAGTGAGAGGTTTCTGGAGAGGCAAACAGGCCTACCTGAGCGGCTCCGAAACGTCTCCAAATCAGCTGGACCGTCTGGGGATGGAGTCTCCATTCTCCCGGGAGCGTAGCTCGTGACAGCTCGTCGGCCGTACGGTTGAGCAGACCCGGAATGTGAATGGCACGAAGTGACCTCAAAACCTTCTGACTCCAAAGGAGGAGGTGGTGGGCGAGTTGCGACATGTGACGAGAGCGCAGACCACCTTGTCGGTTGATGTACGCAACGGTCGCCGTGTTGTCCCTTCGGACCAGCACGTGCTTGCCTCGTAAGCACGCTTTGAGACGGTTCAAGGCAAGGCGCACTTCACCACGCCTTCACCATCCCCCAAAGAGCAGCTTCCTCCCTCTCTGGGTCACCCGTCCCGGGGCCTCTTGCTCTTTCGCTCACCGCCAGGTTTGACGGGGGCCTAGACAGGTGGGGCTCCACGGCACTGCTTGCTGGTGGCTGCTGCGGATGTGGCGGGGGAGCAGGGGCAGATGCAGGGGGCCGCCCTCGGCGACAAGCAGGCTGGGGCGTTGCGGATGGGTGGAGGCAGCAGCTGCCCGCCAGCTTCTCCACAGGCCGTATAAGCATCACCGGACAGGCGAGACGAGTACCTACAGACACGGGGAGGCACGGTTTGCCCTGCAGGGTGGAGGCGGTATTAGGACACAATTGCATCGTAAATGACCGCTCCACCGGGGGGACCCTTGTATACCCCCTAGCTGCACCACCGTCGGGGGGGGTGAGGGAGGAGGAACCAGCAGGTTGGTTTCCGGCCGTAAAGGGAGGAGGAACCAGCAGGTTGGTTTCCGGCAGTAAAAGGTGCCCGAAGTAGTCCATGCCTGGCTGCCGCCAGGACGAACACTAGATCGCGGCAGAGGCTCCCCTGGAGCAAACGGAGCCTGGCCCGCAGCTCAGAGATGGTCATCTTCCCGCAATGGGAACATGACTCATCCGCGAACGCCAGCTCAGCGTGTTTAATGCCCAGACACGTGAGGCAGCGATCGTGACCGTCACCCGGCACCAGGTAACCACCGCACCCAGAAACGTACGGGTGAAACGGCATCTTTAAAAAGACGATCCGTCGTCTTTACAAAGACAAACCCACTTATTGCACTCTTTTAGAGAAATTGGCTCTTTTAGGGAAATGCTCTTTTACGTGCTGAGACACACAGGGGAAACGGCTGTTTGCAGCACGACAGGGGGTAGTGCAGCCTGAAGTGCGCAACCCACTCTACACAGGAACGACCAACGCTGAAGTGTAGTCCGCCAACACAAAAAGCTCCAGAGAGCGTGCTAGAATCGTCACACACAAACAATCATTGCATGCCAATGTGCATTGGCTCGTTTAGTTTACACTCGAAGTGGATTGGTCTCTCTAAGCGAGATCCCAATTCATCGGTCACCGTCGTGACTCGGAGTGACCGACTGAAAGGGAACTGTATGGCTTAATTTAGGTTTATTTTATGAATTGTAGCCTATACATTAAATTTTTTTATATTTTGATGTTTATTTAATGTTTGGAAAATGACAATTGTGCAGATCAGGGTTGTAAATTAGATTTAGACAACCTGCAAAAATTACAAACTCTATATAAAATGAATATAACAATAATGCTAATTTTCTTTGACCTCCTGAGCATGATGATCAACATTTTCTAAAGGTTAAAGCTCTCTTTTTCACTGACCAATATTGTTTCATTGCCATGGAAAGTGCCTTTTTATTCCACAAGAAGTTAAATGGATTCATCCTATCATGCTAAGGACACACACATTCACAGTTTGAATATTTCCATGTCAAAGTTGAAGTGCAGAACTGAACCGTCCCGATTGTTTCACATGTTCTTGCTTTATCACTAAGTTTTTGGGATGTCATTGAGTTGCTCACTATATAACCTTACGCAATCTGGAGAAAGATCAAATAGAAGACCAGATTTCACCAGCTTTCCTTACGAACCCAAATATGCCCTCTCAGCACCGATAAAACTGCAAAGTCAGAGATGCACTATGCAACACCAACCTCGACCTTAAAGGACTTTCAGTACTAACTGCAATTACAGCACGTTAATTATTTAAACATTTTCATTTAATAAACACGCGTTGATGAACACAGGCATGAAATCAGTATATTTATTGCCAAAATTAGATTCTATAGTTATCTCTATTTCGTTGCTAAGATTCTTTTATGGAAATGTATTATTTTCCTCCTGTGAGCATTTGTTATTTTCTCTCAGTCCATCTATGATGCACCATCAGGCTGTTTTTATGCTTTAATATCAGGTGATTTTTGTATTCGTATTATGACTGTATCTCAGCTCTGCTCATCGGCTGCTGCAGGTCAGCTGCATGAATCATTCATGCTGATACTAATATTATGGTGCTCATAGGGCCTACAATATTAGCTTGTGGACCAACATTATTAGCTTCTGGACTCGTCTGTTGCTCCTCCACCCCAGTAAACACACACACACACACCTAAACACCATCATTATCTCAGTGTTGATGCTGCAAACTGATGAATATTTGATTCTGCTTCATCTTCTGTGTCTGTGTGAGTGTGCCCAGATATGTGAAAGTGCATGTATTTGTGTGTGTGTATGTGTGAACCTAATGGTAAAGAGATTTCTTTTTGCATTTTTGCGTTTAGTGCACAAGTCTTACTGGAATGCCTTGAGGGAAGGATGGTGGGCTTTGCTGGGGAGGTGGGCTGGGTGCTGAAACAAGCAAAAGCCTTTGTATTACCTTTTAAAGACAATCAATTATCGTGACCTGCTCTGCCTCCCTGTGGGGGGTTCCACCTCTCCTCGAGAGCGGGCCAGGCAGCTTCGACATATAAGTCAGTGTTTGGAAGTGACAGGGTGTTAGTAGTAGCCCACCAACTCATCAGAGTGCCTCTACAATCTCCAGTGTCAATGGAGCAGTCACATAAGAAATAGGGAGGCAAGCAGCCCCCACATACTCTATTACGTCGCTAATGAGTTTACTGGTGATATGCTTTCAGTCCACATATGTCATGCTGGTGAATGTGAGTTTCATCAGAAATGCAAGTCAACAGAACACAGTGAGGCTGCGTTCAAGCACAACCTACTGATAATTCAAGTCCTCCAGTTGGGTTTGTAGTGGATTCGTAGTTGATCTCTTTTGGATTGTGAATGAATAAGATTGTTTATTAATTATTACGGCAGTCTTCAGCATCACATGATGCTTCAGAAATCAATCTAATATGCTGATTTGATGCTCAAGAAACATTTCTTATTATCAATGCTGAATAAAGCTCCGCAGTATTTTTGTGGAATCAGTGACACTTTTATAAATAATTTTTCTATGGATAGAAAGTTGCATAGAAAGGATAGAAAGAGCAACATTTATGAGAAATACAAATCTTTTTTGTCATTATAAATATCTTTGATGTCTCTTTTGATCAATTTAATGTGTTTTTGCAGATTAAAAGTTTTTTTTTAAATCCTACTAACTTGCACTTTACTTTATATTGTGGTATACAATAATACATAGAGTTGTGTGTGTTTATGCATAAGGATGTACTGTACAGCAGGTCTTGGGATGACATCCAAATTTCAATAGTCAACACCATTAGAATTTCATCATTAATACCAGTTTTTGATGTGAAATATGAATGTACAATAAAGTGTAAACTACAGTAACTTTAATATATTTTTATATTGCTGCAAAAGGTTTAGAAAATGGCAACTCAAAACAGGATGAGCAAAAGATCGTAACTTGTATTGGAGCATGTGTAATGTACAACATTTAAATGAAGACTAGAATTGAGGCCTTGTTTCTTTTTTTTTCCTTTTTAGCAGTGGATTTGCAAGGCTGCAGTCCACACACCCGGTTCATAGTCCCTCCGAAAAACACACACTGGGTGGCCATTATGCAGAGAGGGAAGTGCACCTTCAAGGAGAAGATCCTTAATGCAGCTGCTTTCAATGCCTCGGCTGTCATTATCTACAATAACAGCACCAAAGAGGACACAGTCACGATGGCTCATGAAGGTGAATGTCCATAATCAATGTATTCTCATCATGACAAATGCAACTCTCCTTCTAATCTGTGCCATGTACGTAGTGTCATGCAGACTTTTCTAACTTCTGTAGTCAGTTCCTTTAGATAGGACTCCAAGCTTGTACCTGTTAGTAATTTTAACACTACATGTTAACATGAAGGAGTTTTGTTCAGAGTGTATGTACATGTAAATGGATATTTTTATTTGACTGAAGGAATCAATTGTGTTGGTTGAAAATATAGGAAGTGGTAGCTGATGTTTTATGATGGAGCAGATACACCTGACCAGTTACTTTAAGATCTTTGTAGTGCTTGCAGCAGATTTTAATGCAGTGAGGTACATTATCTGGAAAAATCATTGTCCAAGAACTTCGAGATCGAGTGTGTACTGTGTGTTTGTGTGTTTGTGTGTGTATCAGTGCAATAGAGAAACAGTTTTATTTCGCAGCTCCAAAATGTGTAAATTGTGTGTGTGTGTGTGCGTCTGTCACTTAGAAGAGTTTTGTGCAGTGGACAGCAGACAGTTTGAGGGGAAAATGTTGCTGTGATCAGCAAAAATGTATTATTATTATTATTATTATTATTTATTAATTTATTTATTTTTTAAAGCATTTTGGTAAAAGCAACAGCTGACACATTAATTGTAATGGCCATTACATTCCATTAATGTTTACTAAACAGACCACACAAATGGTAACCAGACATGAGATACAACCGCACCACAATACATCAAGCTACATATAATACATTATGGATTGTTTATTATGAATTATGCAAGTGCATATAATACTTGCATGTAACATTAATCATGTCAGATAGTAGATCAAATTGTAAGACACTGTTTATTTAATATTATTTTGAGTATTGCCGTATCTAACAGCGATGTCATTAGTTGTACTATTTTAAAGAAAATGACACCTGTTCAGAATATATGATTATTCTTAATTTTACAACTAAATCGTCATTCTGTCTGAGGTTGACTTACTCAGTTTTTTTAAACTGTTGATCTGTGTATACATGCAAACTGACATCTGTGACAGTTGCATCGCAACTATTTTTTAAATGTTTTCCGCTATGGGTGCATTTTTAAGATGCTTTGAAACTTCTCAAAACCTCTGTGTTCTGTTCCATTTATGTGGTGCTCTGTCTAGTTGTTTTTGAATGCAAGAACACATCCTGTATGAATGTTTCCTCACTCACTCTGTGCTGCCTGCTCTCTATAAGTGTGGTTTGAGGTGTGTGGCTTTTAGTAGCAGATGGGACTGGAGGTTGTTAATTCATGGATTGTTATTTTTTTAATGTTACGAGAAAATATATGGATGATTCTCAGTTGTATAGGACCAAAACTGCAGCTTTGACGAGCAGAAACACTCAGGATTAATTGTTTGTGTATGTAGGTATTTCATAATTTGTTTTGGGGTTATTAACTTGCCGTGAGAGTGTGACAGAGACTGTTGGTTTGGTTTTTGAGGACATTCGGACAAGGTGAAGGACTGTGCGTACTGGAATCCATCCCCCAGTGCAGTCACTGTTGCTCTGCAGGTGCACTCTCTCCACACACACACACACACTTCTAGCTTGGCACATATCCAAGAGCTTAGGATGCACAGGGCACATAGGATTCAACCGAAAGCTTCTCAGAAGTGTGATAAGATGTATAAAGGGGTGGGTTGAACAGCGAAAAGGGGAAGATAAGGGGAGATGGTGAGTCACAGCAGCGCTATCAGAATGGGATCGATGAGATGTTTAAATATAGCAGGATTGCATGATTTATTCAGAGGGTCCTTTACCCCTGATACCTATGGGATTCAAACCTCGATGTACCAGCTGTTAATCTTGAGGTACCTCACGATTCAGCTGGATTTTGATTCATTGAGACAATTGTCCAAGGGTTCTTGATGTATCGCTCTCTTTTTTTTTTCAACAGCATAGGGATGCAAGCCGCCTTGAGTTAAGGTGCCAAATTCATTAAGATCTTATACAAGATCTTCTGCTTTTGTATAATGTGAATGGAATGCTAGACCAGAGCAATTTTAGACTGATATCTAAGAGTGTTCATTTTCTTTAAATGAAATAAAGCTGAAATAATATAAAATACAAATATTAGATCTTAAACTGAAAAGCTTAAAGAAAAACTTGAAATGCTTCCTTGGCAACTAACTAAAATAAAATAAGTTGAAGAACTAAAATGACAAAACTAAAACAACAACAACTTATTATTATTATTATTATTATTATTGTTGTTGTTGTTGTTGTTCAAAGGTAATTAGAAATCTAAAATAATAATAAAAAAATAACAAAAGCACATAACAAAATGTCTGGAATCTGGATTGTCTGGATCAATCTAGAAATTTTTTTTTTTTAAAGAATTACAATGCATCAGTGTATGGCTTTATCCAGGTGGATCATTGTTCTTGCACCACATGACGTTTTTATAATTTTTTTTAAATGCATGAGGCAATATTTTCATATGTAGATTTCAGTCACACATTCAGATCACTACATTTAAAAATGTATTTTGTGCACCCACAGGAAGTTTGGGGTTGCATTTGTGTATGTGTGTGGGGGTGGAGACATGTTTGCAAACTGAAAGCTGCAAGCAAACTGCATTTTGTCTCTCATAGTTGAGGTATACCTATGATGAAAATTACAGGCCTCTCTCATCTTTTTAAGTGGGAGAACTTGCACAATTGGTGGCTGACTAAATACTTTTTTGCCCCACTGTATATACACACACACTACCACTCAAAAGTTTGGGATCAGTAAAACTTGTAATGTTATTTAAAGAAGTCTCTTATGCTCATTAAGGCTGCATTTATTTGATCAAAAATACAGAAAAAACAATAATCTTGCAAAATGTTATTACAATATAAAATAATGGTTTCTATTTTAATAACCTTTCAAATATAATTTATTTCTGTAATGCAAAGCAGCTGAATTTCCATCAGCCATTACTCCAGTCTAAAGTATCACATGGTCCATTAAGAAATCATTCTAATATGCTGATTTATTATTAGAATGATCAATGTTGGCAACAGTTGTGCTGACAAATATTTTTTGGGAAACTGCAATACTTTTTTCAGGATTCTTTGAATAAAAAGCTAAAAAGCTTTTTTTTTTTTCAAAATATAAACATTGATTCAAAATATAAATCTTTTCTAACAATATAAATCTTTGCTATCACTTCTTATCAATTTAACACATCCTTGCTGAATAAAAGTTTGAATTTCTTTCGAAAAAAGAAAGAATAAAAATGTACTGACTCCAAACTTTTGAACGGTAGTGTATACTGTTAGAAAAGATTTCTATTTTAAATAAATGCTCTTCTTTTAAACTTTTTATTCATCAAAGAATCCTGAAAAAAAGTATCACAGGTTCCAAAAAAATATTAAGCAGCACTGATCATAAATCTGCATATTAGAATGATTTCTGAAGGATCATGTGGCACTGAAGACTGGAGTAATGATGCTGAAAATTCAGCTTTGATCTCAGGAATAAATTAGATTTTAATGTGTATATTAAAATAGAAAAACTTTATTTTACATTGTAATAATATCTCACAATATTACATTTTTTCCTGTATTTTTGATCAAATAAATGCAGCCTTGATGAGCACAAGAAACTCCTTTAAAAAACATAAAAAATCGTTCTGATCCCAATATATATAACACTTTATTTTAAGGTGCAATATGTGAGTGCATATTGCATGTTGTAAATATTTATTGTAAATGTATTTATATAAGGAGTATGATCAGTCATATTCTTCTCTCTGAGCATTGTTTGTACAATAGCATCAACACCTTTAAATATCTGTTCAAGTACTGTATAAAGAGACTGTGATATGAGTTGAAACCAATATTTTAAAACCAGTTACGTGCAGAGTGCATCTAAATTCATAATGCCACATGCTCTGTTGAGTCACTGTGGTTTGAAGGATCGCATCACCTTCACCGTCGGTGTCAGTCAGCATGTGCAGGGCTTAAGACCACCTTTGAGGGAGTTTCCTCTTTAACACAGATCAATATTTGCATGCCTTGCCCTTTATGCAAGGAACAATCAATAATGAATACAATTAATTTTTAATCGCTGTTAAAAAGTAAGGCCATTTAGACTTTTTCAGCAATTCTAAATGCATGAAGGATGAGCCATTAACATTTTTTACATTTTAATCCATATTTGCTTAATTTTATTGAGATCTCAATTGGAATCATATTTGATAATGATATGATTATTATTATAGCTCATAATATTTGGTTTGATAATACTGTAAGTGTCATCAACAGACTGTGCCTGTGTACGTGAGTTATGCACCATGATGTATGTCATGATATACATCTGTTGGTTCTCATGCTGCTTATGGAGAAAAAAAACGGCCTTGGAGTTGGTCAGAGCTGCTCTATCAGTCACCGCTGGAGCAAATTGTCCCTGTCCTGCCCTAGACATCATCTTTACTGCTGACAAACTGCCTTCTGAGCCAGGCAGCGTGCTAAACAGTCACGTCTCATTCACACCTGCGCATAAACATAAGTGCTCACGTACACCAGAGCGTATTAAAAAAAAAGTCTATACAAAATCATACCAGCTGGTAGACTGCAAATTAAACCTTTGTTTATGCATCATGAAACAACCATAATGTCAGACACACAAGCAGCCACATTCACAATGACATTCTGTGACATTCAGACTCCTTTTTCACACTCTTATGACATTCAGGATTTGGCTGTAAGATGCAGCAGTTTTTATACACAAGGGATGATGCACCCTTGATTACTTCCATAATAAATGCATGCCTGTTCACCCTTTAGCCTTACACTACAGTCGTAATCCACTGAAACTCTTAATAAACTAATTATTTTCAGAGTGCTGATTGTATATAGTTTTAAGCATTATCTCTTCATTGGACATATACTGTATAGAGCTGTTTTTTAACATCTGATGAAAGTACTCATAAGTAGAAAGAAGGCTAGCAAATATGACACTAATATGTTTTTATACAGTATAACAATTAATATGGTGTTATTTTAATTTTCTTATATAAAATGCTATTTCATTCAACATTTACTCTAGTACTTACTAATAAAATGCTTCTGTTTTGCTTTTCTTTCTTTATTAGGGAAAAAAAGTTCAAAGTTGCACTGAAACTTTTTGTTGTATTTCAGAATGTTGTATCCTGATGTTCAGGATGTATGCAATCCTGATATTAATGTTTTGAGATTGCACATGCTTTGAGAATGATCCACAGCTCATCTTTGTGCTTAGGACAGTGTCCAAATGCACCGTTTGTACAAGGTCAATAGAAATCATGCAAAACATTCTCATATACATTCTCATAGTTCGTATTAAAGTTTTTAAGCTGTGCCGTTTAGAAATTATAGGATTTGTTTCACTGTGCTTCACATTTCTTTGTAATCAACGTAATGCTTTAAGAACCTATAGCTCTATGTGGTGCCTTTCGTGATGTTTTGTATAGCCTGTGTCCCTTGTGATTCTTTCACAGCCCTGCCATGCTATCTGCTGCTACAAAGCTGTGAAAGTAGATTTGTGCCTTGTAGACCCTAGAGGCATTGAGACTTGTCATCGGAAAAAGCCAGTTAATGTTGTATTATGGCATCTCAGTGGTTTATCAAAGAACTTTACCTCAAAGATGTGTTACTGCAGTCTGTCAGTCCAAACACTTGCAGTCTAAAATACCAGAAACCACAAACAGAAAGTTGTATGTGAAAATGTCAGGGCACAGCTAGATATGACAGAGGCAGTCTGAGATGTATCTCTCAAAATGGTTTGTATTTTGAGTTTGTGCCATCAAGGTTAATCATATCTTAGCTATAGTCAAAATAACAACGTTTTCAGTCTCGTTTGCTTAAATGTGTTTTGACCAGCATAATAATAGTTACGTGATGGTATTTGCCATTGCATTTGTTTTCCTGTATATAGGGCAGTTCAAGTGCAGAATACGGTGAGATTAGATCACTGACTAGGACAGGTCTGCAATAGTTTTCCATCTGTACTGTTCTAACCTTATTATTGCAAAGCCTAAGGGCCAGTATTATATCAGTGTCTATGGCACGGCCTAAGCCCTAGATCGGTGTTATTGTGTGTGTTTATGGTTGGGGGGGGGTTGTTTGTCCTCATTTTGTGTTGGCATGATAACTGTGCCATTTGTGTGACTGTGAATGTTTAATGGGTCAGATCAGGAGTACCGCAATACCGCATATCATATCAAAATACCGCAATACCGGTGCATGTCGCTTAAACAACATTCGGAACGCCACACTGTTTGAAAGGGGTTTCACTTTTGAAAGGCTTTTCACTGTTGCCCTGTGGTGAGGGAATTAAGCTTATGCTGTATGTGTTACTAAGCGTGAAAGTTCCGAAACTGAAGCTGTAGAACTAATAGAACTTGGTCTCATCCACAATATCCACATTGACCGCCAAAAATATCCACCCCCCCCCCTGCCATCAGCTCCCGCGTTCTCACACACACACACACAAGCGTGACTTTAGCACTAGATTTGGCAACTTTCAGACCTTTTTAGAGGCTTTTTTCCATAGAATATTCAAACTGACAAACCTAGTGACTTTTTTGGATAAACCTTAGCTATGGTTCAGTTGGAAGATTTCGCCAGTGCTGTCCCGCGAGCGCAAGGTCTGACTTTCCCGGAGAAGTGTCACCTCTCTCGGCGTCTGTTCTGTGCAGTGAGCGGCAGAGAAGCAGCACATTCAGTTGGCCGCACCGCAGCCGACTCGTCCATAAACGAGTACAAAACAGCGTTTCCTAGCACCTGTCGCTTACTGATTGTTTGGAATTATAAATATGAGCATAGTCTGTCTGTTAATATCACATGCACTTTTTTGTTTGTTGTTTTTTTAAGATTGTTACTCAGACGCAGGCAGTGCGCTGCATGAGACAAAAAAGTAATATAGCCAAAACAACCGCATAGCCGCTCTTTGTTAGATGCATGTTGATTTTACCAGACGATGCTGCGATTATTAATGAGAGTAACTCCTGGTTAACATTAAAAGGGGTCGTGTTTAGTCACTATTTAGTGTGGTATTTTTTGACAATAGTCACTCATCATGACAGTAAAATAGGTAATTCTAAGTCAATATACTGCATTATTTCCTCTCTCAATCAGTAGAAAATATGGTTAACACCCGGTCATGCATGAAAAAAAAATACTGTCATGTACCGTGAAACCGGTATAATTTTGAAAAATACCGTGATATAAATTTTTGGTCATACCGCCCAGCACTACATCAAGCTTTTGTTCTGACAGGTTGCAATCATGAAAATATGCAAACATTTAAATTTGAAATTTGAAAGGTGCTGTAAAATTATAAAATGCATATAACAATTATCATTATTATTATTATTCATACTTGTAGTATTTTTATTTTATTAATTATTTAATAATTGTATTATTAATCATTTTTCTCCTTCACATAATTTTCTTTGTTGAAAATAACCTATATCTCAATATAATTGATCTCTCCTAAGGCACTGGAGACATAGTGGCGGTAATGATCACAGAGTCCTTTGGAAAGGATATTCTGGGATTCCTGGAGAAGAACCAGACTGTGTTGGTGTCCGTGATGGTTGGGTCACGAGGACTGCCCAAGAACATCAACCGTGGCTCCTTGGTCTTTGTCTCCATCTCCTTTATCGTGTTGATGATTATCTCCTCTGCTTGGCTGATCTTCTACTTCATCCAGAAGATCAGAGACACCAGCGCACGGGACCGCAGCCAGGTCTTACATAACACACAGATGTACCAGCCTAGCACTTCTGCTTCAGTATTATCCTGTTGCTCTTTTGAACAAAACACACATAAACACACTCTCACCCTCAAGCTTGCATCTAAACACCTTGCCAGATTTTTCTTCCAAAGATCTCTCTGATATTTAACAGGCTTATCTGACCTTCAGGAATTTCCTGTGTTCAAAGATAGTAGTAAATGACCCAGCCTTCCCAGCTCATGAAATCTTAATGCAGAAATGTGTGTGTGTGTGTTTGGTGACACTCTGCCTCTTCAGCGTCTGGTTCCACACACACAGACTCACAGTCCTCATTACTCCACTGTAGTGTTGATGTCTCTCAGCCCTTTCGCTTTTACCAGACCTCCGAATTTACTACTGGCATAAACGGCTATAATCAAGCTGTTTTAACATCTGCTGGTATAAAGGTGAAATATGTAAAATCTGAATCTCTTATTTACCAGTAAATTTTAAAGTAGTAGACACAGTTTATACTACGAAGGAATGGAATAAAAGCAGTGAGTGCATTTAAATGCAAGGCCTTGCCCTGACAATGTGTAAGGTTACTTAAATCTTTTTTATAGGAGGCAAGTCATAAACCGTTTCAGCGAAAGCTCACTGGCACATCTTTGCCAGTGTGGTTATTGCTTATACAGTTTTTAAAAATTTATTTATTTATTTATTTTTTTGGTTGTGTTGTTAGCTGATTTTGGAGTGATCACCTAACACCAGATTGATATTAGAATAATTTCTGAAGGATCAAATAAATATTCTAATAATATTTCACAATATTACTATTTACCGTATTATCAAAGAAATGAAATAAATGGTAAACATAAGAGACGTCTTTCATAAACATTTTAAATGGATTGAGTATTTAGCAGATTAACAGATCATTTTAGTGTTTTGGTGGTAACCTAAATGTAATCGCAAACATTTACACACACTGGCACACACACATACTGCACCTTCCATTGACTTCTATTGTTTTTTTAATTAAGCTTATTATAATTAGTGCAGACTGACCCTAACCCCTTTGGCATTTTTTGATTTTAATTAAAACATAATTTGGCCGTTTTATGAACTGTACTTGTGAAGACATCCTCATGAGTCAGTATATTTGTGTCTATATTTGAGAGGACATTTTGAGACCCTTGCAAATATAGCACACACACGCACAGTTTAGCTAGCACAAATCCTTTGGCCCTGGTTGCTCCTTTGGCTTTTTTTGTAAACTGTCGGCGGTAAATCACTGAGCTGTTTGTTTAGCAATAAACTGGCAGAATGAAGACAGAGGACATCTCAGAACAAACACTCATAAACGCACACACAGACAATGAACCGCCCATCACAGGCTGCACTTAGAGTCTTTTATTTATGGCCATCTTTGTCAGGCCTTTCACTAACTCAGCCTCATTTGCTTTATACAATTCTGAATAAGACACTCTAATATGTTGCTTTTATCACAATTAATATTGCTAATGCTTTCTCCTCTGCATTTTTATTCAGCTCTACTTTGTTTATCAAAATCTGAATTGCTTTTTCCTGATGTTCAGAGTCTTTTATTCCCCAACTTTTAGTCATTTTAATTTCCTGTTTCATTAAGTCAAGCTGTGAATCTAAAATTATGTGAATTACTGTCTCCTCTCTGTCCTTTGTTACTATAGCGACGGCTGGGAGATGCTGCCAAGAAGGCCATTAGCAAGCTGACTACCAGGACAGTAAAAAGAGGGGACAAGGTGAGGTCTTTTGACGTCATTGCTTGTTTACTTTTCTCAGGCTGGACTCTATCCATGTCATGTCTGCCAGGCTATAGTAAGCAGCACTGTGTCCTATTATGGAACTGTTTGTGCAATTCTCCATTCATAATGCATCTCCGTGTTCCATGAAGGATTCACTGGACACGTACGCACTGCAGATAAATAAGTCTGTCACTATTCTTCTGAGTGCTTAATCACATTCTTTACGCACACAGCTTGGTTATTTACAGCTGTGTTCAACAACTGAAAAATACAAGTAGATAGAAACACATTCACATTAAATCCAGTTTTCTCCCACCAGCCTTGCTGTCTAGCAGCAACCCATACATTACAGTCTACACAGAGTGCATGCGGTTTAAAAGCAGATGCCTAAAGAGCATAAACAAAACACGGCGCCTTTGGAAATTGCTGGATGGTGATACGTATCTGCTCACTATTATTACTTTAGAAAAAGCAAACTCAAAGCAGGTGAAACTGTCAAAATCCCTGTTTCTGTTTACAGCAAAACAAACAACACTGCACTACATGTACAAATGCAACATTGCTTGCATAATACTTCTTTATTAATACTTTTATTCAGCAAGGATTTCATAAATGATTCAAAAGTGACAGTAAAGACATTTATAATGTTGCAAAACATTTATATTTCAAATAAATGCTATTTTAACTTTCTATTCATCTAAGTATCATAAAAAAATGTATGACAGTTTCCATAAAAATATTAAGCAGCACAACCGTTTTCAACATTGATAGTAATAAGTGTTTATTGAGCACCAAATCAGCATATATTATGGCGGCTGAAAATTCAGCTTCATTCAGGACTAAATTGCTGTGTTTTTTTTTTCCCCCCCGTTTTTTTTTTATATATTAAAAGAGCAAACTCAGAGCAGGTTAAAATTTTAAAATCCTTGTTTCCGTTTACAGCAAAAGAAACAATGCTGCACCGCATGTACTGGTTTTAACAAAAAACAAATTCACAGTGAATTCATCATTGCTTGCATAGTATAATGCATGATATTTTTTAAAGAAATTAATATTTTATTACGCAAGGATTTCATAAATTAATCAAAAGTTACAGTAAAGACATTTATAATGTTACAAAACATTTCTATTTCAAATAAATGCTGTTTTTTTTAACTTTCTATTCATCCAAGTATCATAAAAATGTATGACAGATTCCATAAAAATATTAAGCAGCACAACTGTTTATAACATTGACTGTTTCTTGAGCACTAAATCAGCATATATTCTGGCTGCTGTAAATTCAGCTTTTAACATTTTTAAAATATATAATAAAAAAGCAAACTCAGATCAGGTTAACCTGTTGAAATCCATCTTTCTGTTTACAGCAAAACAAACAACACTGCAATGCTTTTTTTTGTCCTCTTTATAATAAAGTAACTAGGGATCTCAGGATTTTTTCAAAAAATAAGGCACAGTATATTTATGCATGTAGTGCATCATTCCTTGTATAATAATACAATGCATATTAAACCTTTGCTCAAGGTCTAATTTAATCAATAATTGGCGGTTAAATAGTGGTGACAGACAGTTTAGGTTCATCTCTAAAAGTAATCTTGCTGAATGTACCACAAAGTCCAAAGAAAGACATTGACCTGTGTAAAGGTGAATGACTGTCAGGTGAGCGATGAGGTAAGAAGGGTCGTGAGACTTCACAGCTGTTCGGTTTTGAGAAGGGGTGGAGCCGTGCCAGTCAGTGTGTTTCATAGCCCAGTCAAGGTCAGCTCACATCAGCCATGAATAAAACATCAGTGGCCTTGGAGAAGTGCTGCAAGAAATTGAAACCTTTTCATCTGCGAGGTCATGCTCGGTAGAGATTGAGTGAGAGAACATCTGTCTGTCTTCCGCTGCCTCTCTCTCTCGGTCTCTCTCCTTTTTCCTTTTCCTTTTCAAGTGATCGCCTACACTTTTTCGATCAGTTATGATGCATTTTCCAGCGTTGATGCATCCTTACAGCATCACTGCCTTGGCTTAAGCCTCTGAGTATCGGCCACATCCCTCTGCAGGGACCGACCGGACCACAGTCGATGACTCTCACGCTGAGAGGGGCCCATTAGAAACCGAACACCACCTGCCACAACATGACCTTGACCACGCAGAGTAGACAGGACACTGCCAGGTGACGGAAATAGCATCTAGAGTAGAGAAGATGCTTCCAGGAAGAGCAGGGCAGTGTGATATAAAACCTAGGAGGATTTTTGTCACTTTCTAAATGGCTCCATGCCCAGGGAGGTCTAGTTATAGCTGCCTGAGTGATGCGTTGCCTGATACTAGAGCAGGCCTGTACGTTAACTTTTTTTTCCACCTAGCACTGGTGCTACAGAGGTTGAAAGTTTTGTAGCACAAGCCAAAAAGTTGTAGCACAAGTATAAAATGTCTGTTATCATAACAAACACAAGTAAATCACTTAAACAGGCACTGATGTTCCTTCCATACAGAGCACAAAAAATACAAACCATCACAAAAATTGTATTTAGACAGTTTTTTCTTCATTTGCTAAAAATGGAAGAGTGCCGGACCATGTGATATTTCAGTTTTTCTTTTTTAATAAATCTGCAAAAATGTCAACAATTCTGTGTTTTTCTGTCAATATGGGGTGCTGTGTGTACATTAATGAGGGAAAAAAATTAACTTAAATGATTTTAGCAAATGGCTGCAATATAACAAAGAGTGAAAAATTTAAGGGGGTCTGAATACTTTCCGTACCCACTGTACATCAATTATACTTTTTTTAAAAGCAACTGACTGATGATAAGTTCATCAGTCAAGAGCAGTGAGTGATTTTTTTTTTTCTGTGTTTTGGTATTTTATTAACATTAAAAGAATAGTTCACCAAAAATGAAAATTCTGTCATCTGTCTTTCAATTCTGTCATAGTGTTTCATTTTTATACCATCATTTACTCAAGTTGTTTTAAACCTGAATTAGTTTATTTCGTCTGTTGAACATAAAAGTTATTTTTGAAGAATGTGGGAAACCAAGCGGTTGCTGGTCCACAGTGACTTCCATGGTATTTTTTTCCTACTGTAAAAGTCAGTGTGGACCAGCTACTGTTTGGTTACTCTCATTCTTCAAAATATCTTCTTTTGTGTTCAGCACAAGAAGGAAATTAATACAGGTTTGGGACAAAATGTGAGTGAGTAAATAATGACAGAAATAAATTTTGGGGGGTGAACTATCCCTTTAATGACAGTCGGCAGCATGTTTACTGTCCCTTTAAGAGCTGCACGCGTTTTTCTCTCAACTGTTTACTTTAATTTTAGACATAACCAACTGTGTTTATATGTAAACCTTGTGTGTTTTTGACCGTATTAGACGCGAAATCAATCAGACGCGAAAGACAACTTGGTCCAATAATCAGGCGCTTTTTGACAGGCTCTCAGTGTGAGCGCACTTCATGAGTACGCACTCAGAAAAAGCGCATGCAGAACAGCACGTGAATTAAATGTTTAACTGGTATTGCTTTAAAGCAGATGGAAATAATGTAGTTTTGTGATTGCGCATAAGTGCAGTGTCCCGTGAGAGTAACTCTACCGCTGAGCTAACACTAATGTGAATGCATGTGGCGTTGTACATTATATTGAGATGGAGGAGGCGCCAGAACTGCAGCTGATAGAATGTGCACTGCAGCACGATACAACGATATTTCTTCAAAAGCAGATCGTGGAGACATTTTATCGTCCACGATCAAAAATCGTCATATCGCACACCCCTAACTACCAAGTATAATCAACCTCACACACACAAACAAGCACAATGAACTACACACTACACACTATTAAGCGTCTGTGTTATGAACATGCAAAACTGTATCGCACACGTGCTACAGTGGTAAATTTATTCATCGCACAGACCAGTTTTTTCGTAGCACGTGCGCACTGTACAGCCCTGTAGAGGTATATTTATGCTATCATAATATATAAATAATATTTGAAAGTGTTGTTGCTGCATAACGTTAAGTCTTATAGGACATTTATGAAGTCCTATTAAATATTTGGTAAGAATGCCACTTAAGCAGTTATTGTAGCAGTATAACTTGTTAATGGATTAAAAAAATTAATTAATGATATGCTGATGTTCATGGTCAGTGTCATTTTAGTATTATTTACATACTGTTATAGTATTTATTAATAGTTTGAATTGAAAGTTTTTATTTTATTTTTTATTTTAGTTTGTTTTAGTAATATTGTTATTTCTGTTGTCATTTATTTTATTTATTTTTTTATTCAGCTTTAATTTATTTCAGTTTTTGTTTGAATAATTTTAGTACTAAGACTTTTTCAGTTAGTTGCGAATTTAAGATTTCTCCTTTTTGTTAAAGTTTAAGTTTTTCATCGAAAGTTTTTATTTTATTTTATTTCAGCTTTATTTGAATTTCTGATTTTTTGATCGTTTTAGTTAATGATAATACTGTTCATTGCAAAAATAAAATAAAATAATAAATAAGCTTATATCAACACATAAACATCACTGCACTAGCTGATCTTGGCATAACTGTCATAATTAGGCTTTTCTTAATTGATAATAAAGGCTTATAAAACACTGAAGCTTAGTATTATTTAAAAAATGTATATGAAGAAATGCAGATAACTAGTCACTCCTGTAAGTAGGCAGTGTTTCCTCTGTGGTGTCAAGATTCGCTTCAGACTGCCCTCATAGGTCAGTCAAGTGACAGATGGACTGAAAGCAGAGCCAGAGAAATACACATCTTTGACACATTGTAGCTACTAAATCTGCTGAACGATCGCTCTCTCCTGCTCAGTCACCCTGCAATAAGTAGATAGAGACACTGTTACCCGAGCAGCTTCCTATAGTTTTCTCTGAGAGTTGACATGAGTTTCTAGAACCACACTGATGGAATGTTTTCCACACTACTTTCTGTTTTTATTCTATTTATATTCCAGTATTTTTGGGATCCGTGTTAGGAAATTATTTGACACAAAATACAGTCTGAATGTTCAGAATGGCATGCTATCATACTTTATACTAGGAATGGAGTATGCCGTAAGTGTACTTTGCAGAGTATGCAAATTGACTGTGTGCATGGAATACCCAGATGACCTACTTCATTTGCCAAAATGACTTCATCCCATAATACTATGTGCTCGTCTTGATCTTTATTTTTTATTTAAGTGTTCCTAGAATTGTAAAACTGTCTAAATAAGTGTCACTAAAAAACGTTTTCACAATTAGAATATTACACATGTTCCTGCTTGCTTTATGGATAAAATTAAGATTTGATGTGAGATTTAATTTTATTTTATTGCTCTCAATCACAGGTGGCTGTGTATATGATATTTGATATTATAAAAATGTGCACTGTATCAGGGCTATTTATGCAGTTTTGGTGTCACTATATTTAGGACACATGTATTCTCTTGTCACGGGATCCATGTGTTTTAACATAATAGCATACTAGCTGAAATATTATCTTACTGCATAGTGAACAGCTTACAGTGTATATTTTGCTGCCTACTATTTGTAGAAGTAGTATGTAAACCATGTGCATTATGCAATGATATTGCTTAACTGTATTATTCAACACTATACTCATTATGCAGATCACACGTTTTTAGGTGACCTCATTTACATGCATTTTTAATTAAGTGAGTGACAGCTAGTTATCACCTAGTACAGGGGTGGCGAACGTCAGTCCTGGCGAGCCGCAGCCGTGCAGAGTTTTGCTTCAACCCTAATCAAACACACCTGAACAAGCTAATCAAGGTCTGAACGGTTATTAGGAAGCTACAGGCAGGTGAGTTTTAATTAGGGTTAGAGCTGAACTCTGCAGGGCTGCGGCTCTCCAGGACCGGAGTTCGCCACCGCTGACCTAGTACATAAAAACAGTTATTGTGCATTTAAACCCTTGATGTATTGTTTGACTGGACTGTCAGAAGTTAAGAAAGAGATTATTATGTGCAGTGTGCTCTTATGTTAACAGCATTCTGCATGCAATACTGTGTACATGACATTACATACTTTGCTATTGTAACTGTACAGATTGCTATACCGCAGTTAGACCATTTTAATCTCATCTATTTGATAAATAATTTCATATTAGTTTGACTTTATAATCAAATATATGAGTGTGGTATCTGAACCTTAAATGGTGCACTTGAGAATAGCTGGGCAAGATGAATACAAGGACGAGGCAGCGGGGAGGTCAAGAGATCAGATCAATATAGAGCGAAATGCAGGTACTCAAAGCACATTGCCAAGAGTTTCAAGAGAATTTCACACCTGCCTTATTCCCATTTCTCACAGATACGTGTCATAAGGCCAGCATACATATTTAATAATAATGGGCTTGTGATGCTTAAGTAGAAATAGTAGGGGAAGATTCAAGGTCCTAAAGAGAGTTATATTAAGAGTGTTTCTGTATGTTATATTTCTGTGTTGATATTGATTTATCTTAAACAGTTTTCCTTTTTTTTGTCCTTAGCTTGTCACATCCAACACGTGATAAGCAGCAGAACCTTACAATGGTCACTTGGTTTCTATTTCTGTGGTGTTTTGCTGAGTAGCACTGGTCAAAAATGCAGCTGCACGTAATTGTTTTAAAAAATACATAAATAAAATTTAGCAACATTATCTTGCCTATTGATGTGTCTTGTCAGACAGCATTTTCACTTTATGTGTGGTCAGTGGTCATTTATTGCATTTTAGCTTAGCTTCTGTAAAAATGATCATTTGACAGTCCTGTTCTTGTTTGACTGGCAAATGATCCTAAAACTGCCCTGATGTACCCTGTATCTGTATCCTAATGAAACTTTCTAATGTTGAAAATTACATTTTTAACTATATTTTGACTAATGAAAAGGCTATCTTTATTCTTCATCGTGTGTTCATGTTTTGCAGGAAACAGAGCCAGATTTTAATCATTGTGCAGTGTGCATTGAAGGTTATCAGCTAAACGATGTGGTCCGGATCCTACCCTGCAAGTAAGTTTGTGTGTCTGTGTGTATTTACATATGCATTTAGTTTCGCTTTGTGAAACAAGGTCAATGAAATATCCACTATTTTCTGCAAAAAAAAAAAAAATATATATATTTATATTAATGCTGGTTCACAATTTCTTAATTTTACTGCTACTGCTACTAATACTATTTATTAATATACATTTTTAATTTTTAAAAATAGCTTTTTAATCTCTTTTGTTGTTGTTGTATTGTAAGAATAATAATAATAATTCAATTTATATTAAGGTTATCCTTAAAGGGTTAGTTCACCCAAAAAGGAAAATTCTGTCATTAATTACTCACCCTCGTGTTGATCCAAACCCGTAAGACCTTCGTTCATCTTCGGAACACAATTTAAGATATTTTTGATTAAATCTGAGGGCTCTCTGACCCTCCCATAGACAGCAAGGTAACTACCACGTTCAAGGTCCAGAAAAGTACCAAGATGATTGACAAAGTAGTCCGTGTGACATCAGTGGTTCAACTGTAATGTTACGAAGCTACGAGAATACTTTTTTGCACAAAAAAAAACAAAAATAACGACTTTATTCCACATTTTGTCTCTACTGCGTTACTTGTGGACGTGCGTTCACGACAGTCAGGGTCAGAGAGCCCTCAGATTTCATCAAAAATATCTTAATTTGTGTTCTGAAGATGAACGAAGGTCTTGCGGGTTTGGAACAACACGACGATGAGTAATTAATGACAGATTTTTCATTTTTGGGTGAACTAACCCTTTAATGTTTTTATTCAGAATTTAAACTGAAACTGCTCGTTATGGTAGTAAATTATATATATATATATTTTTTTTTTTCCATTTTAACATTTTGGCTTATGTTGTCTGCTGGCAAAATATTTTTTGCATTATCCAGTGCAATTTGGTTTTCACCCCAGACTTTGAATAATGGTCAAATGATATTTGGAGAGAGAAAGGGAGATCAGGGGTCACTTGCTGTTGTGAGATGTGAGTGTGTTGAGGAAATATGGCACTGCTGTTGCTGTGAATCACTGCCCTGTCAAACCCGCTCTGCTTATTTTTAGCAGCTCAGCTTCCAGTGACCTCTAGGCAGCCAAAACACAAACACACACGCATTTGTACTTACAAACAGATACACACTATTCATGCACAGTATATTAAAGGGATGCGACATACAGTATGCACACACAAATACACCAACATGCCCTTTCCTACAGTTTCAGACACCATCTGCCGAGTATGACCCGGTCACACAGCTGGAAGTCTAGCTGCTAATTTTGTGGATCGTCTTACACCGAACACGCATACTGTACATGTTCACATGCTATAAATGCTTATATAGATACACTGTGATCTGCTGCGTGCAGTAACTCACCAGTTTTTTCACGATTATTCCTTTCTCTTTTTGACACATATCTTTGTTGCTAACGTTTTTAGGAATTTAGGTGCTTCCTTTTAAGTAGATGAAAATTTTGTCATTTACTCACCATCGTGTTGTTCCAGACCTGTATGACTTTCTGCTCTTTCATTTTATGAAATGCCTTGGACATTCTGCTAAATAGCTCCTTTTGCGTTTGATGCTAGAAAGTAATTCATACAGGTTTGGAATGAGTAAATTATTTGAAAAATGAAAAATAAATAAATACAAATTGGTATTTCAAGTACAGTATCAGTCATCTCTCCATGATATCTACTAGCATTGATATTTTTCTCTTTTCATCCACACCCACTCACGCTCTTTCCTTATTATCTCTTTCGCTCCCTCTTTCTGTCTCTACAACTGTACAGCAGCGATGAAGCACTAATCCAGAGCCAGGTTAATTGCAGTGTTCTCTGCTTACGGCTGAATCACTGCTTCACTCCAGTCAGATCAAATAACACACTCGTGAGCTGCAGCCTGTGCTGCCTCAGACAGCTGCTGGCATCCAGCAACAAACCAGTCTGAAACTCTTAGTCATCGTGCGAAACGGTTGGATGACCATCCAGGTCTTAAAGTACCAAGCATTGTAGACCCCATGAAATTAAACTTTTATTCCATAAATGTTGCATTTCAGGCCATGTATATGGTAACATACTCCCAAAATGTGGCAAAATATATAAACGAGAGCCCATTGGCTATTAAAAATTTAGGACATTAAAAATATTGGCTGCTGTAACTTCCTGTTTGAAGACTTGATGTCAACACAGGAAAGAAAACAGACACTTATCTTTGATTTCATTATATTTATCATATTTACTGTTCAGCATTAGATATTCACAGCTAGTTTAGCTCTGAGGGATCTGCAAAAAGGTGTTCAATTAAAAGAAGGAAGCAAATTCCAAAAAAAAAAAAAAAAGTTTAAGTTTCCAAATGAATTACCTCCATAAGGACAGGCAGTGACGTTGAATGATTCATAACCGATTTCAGTTCATCCCAAAGCTGTTCAATAGGGGTTTAAGGTTTAACTAGGCAAGTTCTTCCGAACTTTTTCTATGGAACTTGCTTTGTGCACCAGGTTTATTGTCATGCTGGAATAGAAAAGGCCCTACCCAATGTTACCATAGAGTTTTCATACAGTTATGTCATTCTATGCTGTAAAATTAAGATCTGTTTGGAGATTTGAACTGGAATAACTGGAATAGCTAAACCAATTTGTCGTAGAGAGGTGTCTACTTGTTTTTTGATCATATAGTTTATTTCTTAAAAAAAATATTCAGGATATGCATATAGTGCAAGATTTTAACAATCAAGATCACTGGATCATGAAGAGAAGCATTAATATTATGGGTTAATATGAGTTCTTCCTGCCAGTGTGCTATTGGTTAGATTATTACTACATTTTGATAAAAGTTTATAAAAAAGAATTTCATTTTCATTGGAATAACATGTTTACATTTTTTTTAAATGTGTATTTACATTTATTAAATCAAATGGATCAAAATACACAGTAAAGTAATTTGTAATGTTACAAAAAATTTATTTCAAATATATGCGGTTCTTTTGAACTTTCTATTAATCACAGAATCCTTTAAAAAAGTGTCACGGTTTCCACAAAAAATATCAAGCAGCATTAAGCAACTGTTTTCTGCCTTGATAATAATAAGAAATATTTCTTAAACACAAATCAGCATATTAGAATGATTTCTGATTGATCACGTGACATTGAAGAAGACACTGAAGAGTAAAGACCCTAAACTTTTTAGTGTGTGCGTGCGTGTGTGTGTGGAGATGGTTGTCAATCTGTTCTTATCTTATGGTTATCTCTTCTTAAGGTGAGTATCTCTGCTCTCTTAAGCTTAAGCATCTCCAGCCACAATCAATAACTCATAGCACAAGTAATGGCAGCACACTTGACCTAGCCATGGCCATTCAATTTACGTCCCTGTGCATTAGCTTCGCTTGAACTTTCTTAGGGGTGTGCCCTTAATTTAATGGATATGACTTACTGTTTTGTGTCATGGTGGACTGAAATTTGTATTTAAATATGCATGTGCTATGGTAATTGTAAAATAATACAGATCATAAAGAGTGGGTCCACACACAGAGCTGGTCTGTCTTATTTTGGTGGTATGCAACTCTTTATGTATCCTTTGTGTTGTAAGCACCCTCATCATTAATTAATTTGACCATTGTTTGCATGTTCTCCATCCAAGCAAATAAAGCTTTGTTGGAGTTTGTCTGCATGTTGCTTCAGTACAGGATCATTTCAGAAGCATACGTCCTTTTAGCACCCATAAATCACAGTGTCATTGGCACTTAGCATTATTTAACATCCTTAGATAACCCCTCTGAAATGCATTGCTGCAGCTGTATTCCACAAACTCTCTTGCACCGTAATTCTGTTCAGGTTGTATTAAAATCTTTCTCGAAACACTTCTTAGCTGAGGAACCTGCCTTTATTCCTTTGGGAACTTATAGCATACTCACTTGAGGGGTTTTAAAATGTGGTTTTGGGCCCCCTTTTGCTGTGTTTGAGGCTGCTGGGGTGAATGCAGTAGGGATGAGTGATATATTGAATATATTTGCATTGATTTTTAAGTTGGTAATATTTTTTTAAAAGCCGCTTAAGCTCACCTAGGCTGCATTGATTTGATAAGAAGTATGGTATAAACCGTAATATTGTGAACTATTATTACAATTTAAAGTAGAAAAATTGTACAATTACAATTTAAAGTAAAGTATATTTTAATGTATTTCAATATGTAATCTATTCCTGTGATGACAAAGCTGAATTTTCAGCAGCCATTACTCCAGTCTTCAGTGTCACATGATCCTTCAGAAATCACTCTAATATGACGATTTGATGCTCAAGAACCATTTCTTATTACCAATGTTGAAAACAGCTGTGCTGCTTAATATTATTGTGGAAACCATGATGCATATTTTAAGATTCTTTGATTAATAGAAACCTCAAATGGTAGTGTATTTGATGTATTTTTATTTGGGCGTTACGTTTCCTAAAGACTCCAAAAACAAAAATAGTGTTGGACTTAGTTCGATGCACTTCTGTAACAGTCCGTTTTAATAAGTTGTTTCAAAACTTTGTGTGCATTTACCAAAATACATTAGGATTAATTTTTAAATATAAATTTGATGCAGTGATAAAGATTCTTCAAAATCTTCAGAGCCTCAATGGTGGCCTTGTCTCTAGCATGAGCCTCAATGGCTGTCTTGTGCCGAGAATCTCCCTCATGAAGAGGGTTTCCGCTATCGAGAGCCCAGTGTCTTTCCTGGAGTAAACACAGCTCAGATTGTGCGGCAGCCGGATATGAGGAGGAGGAGAAAGAGACTCAAAAGCTCTCTGTGAAAGCTCATGTTGCTCCTTTGAAGACCAGCAGCTTCTTGCTTTTAATCTTCCAATCTCACTCTCTCCTCTCTCTGGATGTAATATAAATGTGTAATGTGCTTTTACATGTAATGTCCTTCTTGCACCAGTGTTCTTAGAAGCAGTTTCAAATATTTATCGAGGTATGGTGATATCAAAGGCTTGATGCTGCATCTCATGGTCTTACATCGTTATAATAGAAATACAATGATTAGAAACATTTCATTAATATTTATGGTGTTGCAACCAAATGTATAACACTTTAAATGTACACAAAGTAAACAGATGATTATAACATGCATAAGTGCTTTATTTATGGCTATGAAAATGTTTTTCTTTCTCTTCAGGCACGTCTTCCATAAAATGTGTGTGGATCCGTGGCTAAATGAGCACTGCACCTGTCCAATGTGTAAACTCAACATCCTCAAAGCTCTGGGAGTTATGGTGAGCTCACACACACACACACACACACACACACACACACACACAGAGACAGGTTTGTTTTTATGGTTTATGGGGACTCTCCATAGGTGTAATGGTTATTATACTGTACAAACCATATTTTCTATTGCCCTACACCAACCCTACCCCTAAACCTACCCCACACAGGAAACTTTGTGCATTTTTAGATTTTCAAAAAAAACTCATTCTGAATTATTTATAAGCCTTTTGAATTACGGGGGCACTGAAAATGTCCTCATAAATCACCTTCTCGTTGTAATACCTACAGTGGTGTGAAAAAGTGTTGGCCCCCTTCCTGATTTCTTATTTTTTTGCATGTTTGTCACACTTTAATGTTTCAGATCATCAAACAAATTTAAATATTAGTAAAAGATAACACAAGTGAACACAACATGCAGTTTTTAAATGAAGGTTTTTATTATTAAGGGAAAACAAAATCCAAAACTACATGGCTCTGTGTGAAAAAGTGTTTGCCCCCTAAACCTAATAACTGGTTGGGCCACCCTTAGCAGCAACAACTGCAATCAAGCGTTTGTGATAACTTGCAATGAGTCTGTTACAGCGCTGTGGAGGAATTTTGGTCCACTCATCTATGCAGAATTGTTGTAATTCAGCCACATTGGAGGGTTTTCGAGCATGAACCACCTCTTTAAGGTCATGCCACAGCATCTCAATAGGATTCAGGTCAGGACTTTGACTAGGCCACTCCAAAGTCTTCATTTTGTTTTTCTTCAGCCATGCAGAGGTTCTCCTTCAGGATTTTTTGGTAAACAGCAGAATTCATGGTTCCATTTATCACAGCAAGTCTTCCAGGTCCTGAAGCAGCAAAACAGCCCCACACCATCACACTACCACCACCATATTTTACTGTTGGTATGATGTTCTTTTTCTGAAATGCAGTGTTACTTTTACACCAAACGTAATGGGACACACACCTTCCAAAAAAAGTTCAACTTTTGTCTCGTCAGTCCACAGAGTATTTTCTCAAAAGTCTTGATAACATGGCCCTGTTTACCTGATCTGTCGTCTGCTCCAGTTTGCATAGCTGCCCTGCTGCGATCAGCCCCCTTTGTCTGATTTTGTGTGCGTATCACAATGTCCAATGGTCTAGTCTTGTAATTGCATTATTTGATCTCTTTGTACAAATTCAACGACTAAGCTGATAATAAAAGTGTGTGATTTACCACCAGACCCTGCGTATGCCGTTCTTTTGTTATCAGTGCGTGCAACATTCTCTTCTGAATTGCTCCCCTTTAAAGTCACAAGCGTCTTGATGGGCGTGATGTCCTCCTTCAGAGAAGAAAGCAGATGAGGCTCTTCCAGCAGAGATGAGCTCATTTCAACCGCAGCAGGGCATGAGCTGCCTCAGCCACTGATTTCCCTGTTGAAAAAACAGCATATGCTGGTTAGCTATGTTATGAAGCATGGCAGCTGGTTTGAGCTGGTTTAAGGTGGACCAGCTTAAACCCGCTCATGACCAACTAAGGACCAGCTCAAACCAGTTGCCATGCTTCAAAACACACCTAACCAGCATATGCTGTTTTTTTCAATAGGGTTAAGTTCCTAGGTTACATGGAAATAAAACTTAATATATACTTTTTTCCCCTCTTGATGTTTTGTCTTTCTGTGATTTTGTATATATACATGAAAATTTAAGTGTTTACTGTAACAAGTTTTTGTTTTTGAAAACATAAATCTGAGGATGACAATCCTATAATTCCATAGTATATTATTATGTAAATATTAAAATCCAATTTTAAAAAAAAAAGTCAATTTAATGTTAAAAAATGAAAAAAGTAATTAAATATGAATTTGTAGACAAATATAAAGGCTTTCAAAGTTTATTTAAATGGTTTAATAAGGTTTCTTTCTTTTTTCCCCATCTACCAACCTTGTGACAGACAGACAGACAGACAGAGAGAGTGAGCCTGAAGTATCTTTTAAGTCGTTCGCTACTTGTTTTGACCATTAGAGGGTGCCAATGTACCACAGTTATAACTACAATGCTGTAGTTCCTATCTGTCTATCTATCTATCTGTCTATCTGTCTGTCTGTCTGTTTCTGTCTCTTTAATGTTATGAATATTATTGAAAATGCTTCAGAATAAAATGATCGCATGTTTTGTGTTCCTCAGGCAAAGAAATTTACTGAGCACGTGCTAAAATTGCCATCACTCAACTTGAGTGTGTTCTTTTTTCTCATTTCCGCAAGGTAAATGCAGATTATGAATGGACATTAATAGGAAACCTAATACTATTTGCTCTATGAAAACATTGGGAAACAAGCCGTTGACCTCGTCAATCTGCCAAATATTATCGCTTCGTCGTTACTCCCTACAATGTCTCGTCTCTCACCATCCCAGCTTAAAGTTCAAAAGAAGCATCAGTGTTGTACAGAGATAAGGGATGCTGGGATATCATATCGCCTAATGATACTTTGAAGTTGTGAATGCTGAAAATGGGCTAAAGTGCAGAGAGGGGGGGAAACAAGAATAAATTTGTGTGATAAGCACTGGATAAGACTCTCCTCCAGACCGGAGAGGAGAGAGAAGAACAGAAGATGCAACACCAAACACCATCAATATAAGAAAATATCCCTGAAGACACAATTTAGAGATGACCAGGGGTCCTTATAAGAATTTAGTGTTCATGTTAAACTGTTCTGTGCCAGTGTATTGAGTACGAGACGCTATAGGCCTATAATTCTATCAGAGAAAAGCCTGCAACCCCTTTGGCCCCTGACTGTTGTGTCTATTCAAGATTGTGGGAAATTATAAGCAAAGGATACATATGCTTTCAAAAATTACCAGACGAATACATCATATTTTGAAAGGATGTATACAAAAACACGAGCATCAGTGAAGCATTTTCAGGCTTGCAGCCTATATCTCATAGATGTATTATTAAATAGATTGTTCTGACTTTAATTGGATGGGCAACGTTCTGTGACCGACTTTGTATAAATTGATGTACTGCAAAGCCTACTGTTCAGCTAATTAATTATTTGTTGGTGGAAAAACAATTTTATTATTATTATTAATGATGAATGCAAATTTATTGAAGATTGGTTCTTCTATATGGGTCTCTTTTTTTATTTTTTAGATTTTATTATGATTTAACGTCTCGGGTACGTATGTAACCCTCGTTGCCTGAAGGAGGGAACGGAGGCGTCACG